AAGGAAAACTATTTAACTTATATTGTAATTAATTATAGGTAGTATTTCATAGAAATCTCCTAACACTGGACAGTTACTTTAAAGGTTGACTTTGAGCAAAACCCCAAAAATAACGGCTTTAAACTGTATAACTGATCAATGCATCATCATACCAGGTAATGTAGTGCTTAAAAACCAAAATAAATGAATTACAGTTTTTCTGAATCGCTAAAACACTAAACCCCATTCTCTGAACCAAATGCTCAGTGGCCTAAACCCATTTGTAGAATCAATCACTCTAAACACATTCTCACTCACTAAAACACATTTCGCACTGTGATGCACTTGTGTTACAAAATGGTAAACACAGGCGGCAAAAGTTAAACACAACTACAGCACAGTTGTCATCGTTTACACACAATGACTCCAAATTGTTCACACTTGTTTCTAATGATGTGATCAAACCAATTGTACAGAATATAAGCCAGTTCAGAGTGCACAGGTGGCACAGGTGCGTTGAATGTTGATACCAACAATGGATGGAAACAATCTGAGAGGCAGAGGAGGAAGAGTATGTGTAAGAGGTGGTGGACGAGGAGGAAGAGTACGAGGACGAGGAAGAGCAAGACCAAGAACAGTAATTTCAGAAGAAATTCAAGCAACTGTGATAGACCATGTTGTGGTTCATGGAATGACAATGAGGGAAGCAGGACAACCCAATTTGAGCAGATTATCTGTGGCCACCATAATCAGGACATTCAGAGAAGAGAACAGGTAATTGTTTCTTTTTATTTTGGTCATTGAAAGTTGACTGTATACATTTGATTCAGTACATCACTTTGTCAATAGAAAGGGGACTGAAGAAGAGAGAAAAAAATTTCTTACCATACAATATTTTACGTATAGAAGTAATGTCCATTACTATTTTTACTGTATGCATACGTTTGTAAGTGCATTTTCCCTTTTTGTAGAATTGCAAGACAACCACATGAGTGTGGAAGGCCTGCTATGTTCTCCCAACAGCAAGAGGCTCTCATTGTTGATATGGTCCTTCAAAACAATGCCATCCGACCGCGTGAAATACAGCAAAGAGTTGTTGAACACAATGTAAACTTTGAAGGAATCAACAGTGTCAGCCTTTCTACCATTGACCGTGTCCTCCAGCGCAACAGGGTACGCATGAAGCAAGTGTACAGAGTACCCTTTGAGCGCAACTCAGAAAGGGTCAAAGATCTACGATTTCAGTATGTGCAAGTAAGTGTACACTCAGACACTTTCAGCGCTGATGCTTACAGTACAATGCTATGCTACTAGCCTACTGTTACTGTAAACTGCACTATATTGTAGTGTATGTAAATCAGGAGTGCATACAAATGCACTATTGCAGAGGTCTGTCTTTCTGTATCACTTACTAAACTACTTATTTATCTATTTTTATATATAGAGAGTGTTTGAATTGTATTCCATGGAAAGGCCCCATGAATACATTTTTGTAGATGAAGCAGGGTTCAATCTGGCGAAGAGGAGAAGGAGAGGCAGGAACATAATTGGCCAACGTGCCATTGTGGAAGTCCCTGGCCAGCGTGGTGGCAATGTCACCCTTTGTGCAGCCATAAGTAATTGTGGGGTTCTCCACCGTCATGCAACCCTGGGGCCATATAACACTAAACATCTTCTTACATTTCTGGGTGGTCTTCGGGATGTTTTGTTTGAGCGTGAGCAGCAGGATCATCAGCAGGCAGTGCATCCTGTCTATGTCGTGGTTTGGGACAATGTCAGCTTTCACCGTGGTGTCCGGATACGCGAGTGGTTCAACATCAACCAGCGATTCATAAATGTTTGCCTTCCACCATACAGCCCTTTCCTCAACCCAATATAATAGTTTTTCTCTGCGTGGAGGTGGAAGGTCTATGACCGAAACCCATATACCAGGGAAAATCTCTTACAGGCAATGGAATTGGCCTGTGGTGACATAGGTGTGGAGTGTTGTCAAGGCTGGATCCGGCACACCAGAGGGTTTTTCCCCCGTTGCCTGGCAAGGGACAATGCTGTGATGTGGACGAAGTCCTCTGGCCGGAACCAGCACAAAGACGTGATGCTGAGGCAGAATGAATCTCTCATTGACTTTGATTTCGCAGTTGCACAACATTTTTGAGTGTACTGTAATGTGCTTTTCATTTAGAGTTTTCTTTGTTCTTTGGGCTTTTGCAGTTGGACTACTGTATTTTTATGCAAGTGCTGAATATACAGACATTCAATACTGTATTACTTTCAGTACTTACAGTATACAATATATTCACTGTACTAAATTGTGATTACTATACTTTTTGTTTTAATTGCAAAATGCGTTTACTATATACAATTTTTAAAAAATATCTGTAACTACATGCCCTGGACACTGTGTTCTCCATTTTTTTGATGTAGTGTCTAATGAACGCTCTGTAGTGTTTATATATTGACTGGCTGTGTGTATGATCTGAAAGCATTGTTTGTTTTTGAGCACAGATTAAATGGTTTTGAGGAGATTATTTAATTTTGCCAGAAGAGTCAGGGGTTTTATGAATGTAGTTTGAAGATTTGGTTTTGTGTTTAAAGTTTTGAGAAAATGGGTGAAGGTTTCAAGAAATGTGTCTTAACAATCGAGAAAAACTGTAATAAGATATTTAGCTACAGAAGTGCCATGTTTTACTGATCTCTACAGCTTCAGTCCCAAAAGAAATCCTGTGAAATGACATCAACACATACTGGAGGAGTTACTGGCTAGCTACAAGTGGCTAATTTAGCTGACGAACTAACTGCACAGGTAGCAGCTCACATGACCAGAATGACACATTGATGAACCACCAAAGGCACACGCCATTTCTGTTTGAAAATTGAGAACGTTTTTCTTGCCCAAAGTCGACCATTAAAGCGAATTAATTAATTATTTGGGGGGACAGTCTACCTTTTCTGAATATTGGGGGGGGGGGGGACATGTCCCCCCATCCCCTGTGGCAATTTCGCTATGCTACCAAGGCCAAAAGTTCTTGGTGTGGTGTTTTCTAAAATGATTTTACAGCTGTCATTTCAACATAAGCTGTAGTTGAGGAAGTGTTATAAAAACCTACCCCCTTCTCTCTCTGAGCACCTCTCTCGCCCTCTCCCTCGGTCATTGCGCGGGTTGTGCGTAGGAGTGAACCCACAGTCTAGTGCTGACTATGGTTTACAGAACATCTGCCAGCAGCACCAGTGTACCAGAGCGCAGCTGTCACCATTACTTAATCTGCATTGGTTTGCAGCAAAAAGCAAATTGAGCAAGACAACTCAACAGCGCTGAACCCCAGCGCCCTGTCCATCGATTCAGAACGGTCAGGGTGGACTTTGCCCACCATTTTCTGACACTTTTGGGGAATGCACTAAGAGGATACGCTATTTGGAACATGTTACTGGGAAAATTGGTACGGTAAGATTGTTGCATAATTGTTGTATTCTGAAATGTAGTCTTGAAATTCTTTGGATTTCTTTTGGGCAACCTGACTAAATGCTAAATGCGTCCTTGCAACATATTGATCAGTGTAGGGAAGAAATTGTATTTTGAATCGTATTGGCAGGCGTCCAGATCTTGCAAGCGAGCTATAAGAAACCGTATGTAATTATTCATTCTATGCATTAACATATTATCTTCAACGAAAATAAACAACTGATGAATAGCCAAATTGTCGGTAGGCTACATACAGTCTATAAATAGTGGCACACGCACTTGTTTACCCGGGCAATTAAACATGCTAATTGGCTAATGATTAATATTTTGTATAGTCATGTAAGGCTCCGTTATGTTCTATGACACATTATTTTTAATTGTCTTAATTGATGCCAGCTTTTATTTGAGAGTAAATGTTTCAACTGAAACTGAATAGGCCTATGTGTCAGATGTATCAGTTTAAGTGCAGCAGTTCAGATGAACTTGAAACAATATTGATGCAATCAATGAGTGACAGGAATCGTCTGTTCAGACTGATTAGCTTATATAATGAATCACATTCATTTAAGTCTTCTCTTAATTGTCACAGATATCAGCATCTTACTGAGATTTTCTTTGTATATATATACACAGAGTGGTCTAATCAGGGATCAAATCACAAAGATTGTAAACATAAAGGGCTTGTTTGGACAAATGTAAAATATTGTCTATATAACGTTGAAAAAGACAATAAACAGGGGGGTCGTTTTTAAAAAGCGATATTTGTGTATTAAATATTTTACCATGATAATCAAGTTATACATAAATTCAGCTTTTCTGTCCTCCAATAGAAAAACAAACCTCTCTTCAAACTTGGGGCGGCAGGTAGCTTAGTGGTTAAGAGCGTTGTGCCAGTAACCGAAAGGTCGCTGGTTCTAATCCCCGAGCCGACTAGATGAAATATCTGTCGATGTGCCCTTGAGCAAGGCACTTAACCCTAATTGCTCCTGTAAGTCGCTCTGGATAAGAGCGTCTGCTAAATGACATAAATGTAAACTTCAAACTGTGTGCTGCTTATGGAATAACAAAAGGCAACCACTAGTTGTGATGATTTTAAAGGAGTACTTCAAGCTAAAAAGTATTATGTTCCTCTCTTCAAGGATACTCTGGTTTGTTTGATCATATTTCAAGCTCAACACATACACTAGTAATAACAGAATATTTATCAATATGATGGCGCTATCATCAGACCTGAGTCAAATATAGGCTATAGGTCAAGTTCTTTCAACTAGCCTATTTAAGGTGCACTTGATTTTGGGACTATTCCATTGGTTCCATTGTACAGTGTAGGCTAAATAATGCTAAGCTTGAGTATTTGAATGTAGTTGACATCAACCAGTATACAAATATCTAAGTTGTCACAGTACCTACCTATAACTGGTATTTTTTTACCAGTAAAAAAAAAAAGGATTTGGGGATTTGTTTGAATTAATCAGGTAGATTACCTAATGTTCTAGGCTTGACTCCTTGATTCTGATGTTGCGTGAACAGCTTTAGGATGACATCTATCTCTTATTCTCAGGTAGTTGTTCTCTTCGCACTCCTTACGGGATCCAGTGTTAGTGTGGCATATGTCTTTCAAGCAAGTCGACCTGGAGAAGATGCGGGATCTCCGCCACAAACCAAAAGTGAGACATGGATTGATGTGTTGACATCAGGCCTTTCCTGCTCTGACACTCAGTTGGCTAATAAGGGTTTTATTACAGTATAATAAAATAGAGAGTAATATAACCGTTTTGTCAATCAAAGATTGAAATTGTTTGTTGGCATCACCACTGTACCTTTTCTTCCATATTGCACCATTTTCTGGTACAGTAGGCTAATATACTTACAGCAGTAACCCAATATTTAAGATTGACGTTACATTTTCTGCAGCCTGGTCACCTTTAGCCTTGGTCATTTGTGTTGTCATGATGCCATAGCCTATAATGTGAAACACACAAACTGTGTTTACCAGGCTACATTTTCAGTGCACTGAAGTTTTTGCTAGTGAGTATGCTGTCCATATTAGGACATATCCATGGAAGTTGTGTCAGTCACATGTTGGTGTGTCTCGTTAGCATTGTGCTAATTGTGTTCTCTTGTCCCAGCTATCTCAGACTCCCTGTGGGTTAGCTCAGCAGGATCATGTAAGGGCAGATGTTTTGAATTGGAGGAAGCTTTACCGCCAGGTTGCAGATGTGACAACTTGTGCAAAACCTACTACAGCTGCTGCTCAGATTTCGATGAGCACTGTTTAAAAACAGGTTGGTGTACCAGCTTGTCTTTGAACTGTTTTCTCGTACTGTATCTCTTACTGTGGTGCTATGGTTCAATTAAGGAATAAGGCCCGAGGGGGTGTGGTATATGGCTAATATACCACAGCTAACCATCCACTACTGTTGAAAAGAATTTACACCAAATTAAACAATGGCTGATATTGAATTTGCTTTCTGATTGATTGTGTGTGCATGAGTCATGACTATGGTTTTGTAGTAGCTAGTTATTGATGCTGAATACAGACTCTTACTGTATGTCCCTTCCCTGGTGCAGCGGGTGGCTTTGAGTGCAGTGAAGATCGCTGTGGGGAGACGAGAAACGATGACCATGCTTGCCACTGCTCAGAAGACTGTCTGTCGAGAGGAGACTGCTGCACCAACTACAAAGCTCTCTGCAAAGGTACACACTCAAACTAGGGATGTGTGAAAGGCTGTTGAAGAAAGTGAATTTAGGTCAGTTCATTCCGTATTGGACACCGAAGGGACCCAAATGGGAAGGTAGTCGGTTAGAAGGTAAAGTAGAATGTGGGCTTTGGGTTCTTGTTGTGCATTTTTCTTTTGGACTGCAGAAGTGCATTACTTTCACCTATGTTGTTTGCTCTACAATGAACTGATAAAAAGTGCAAGTTGTGAGTCTCTTATATACATAGTAACTTTCACATTCTACATCAGGAGTATTCAACTCTTACACTACGAGGTCCAGAGCCTGCTGGTTTTCTGTTCTACCTAATCATTAATTGCACCCACCTGGTGTCCCAGGTCTAAATCAGTCCCTGATTAAAAGGGCAACCATGAAAATATGCAGTGAATCTGGCTTCGAGGTCCAGAGTTGAGTTTGAGGGTTCTACATGGCATACATGTATTATATTCTTCTCACACTCTGACAACCTTCAATAATCCAAATACTTTCAAAATGAAGAAGTGAAACTATTTCTTTTGAATCAAATTCCAATGCACCGGCAACAGACTTTTGCAGACTTGCGCTGACTTTAACTTACATTTTTTTCCTATTGCAGGAGACGCTAAATGGGTGGACGGTGAGTGTGAGGAGATCACAGGCCCTGAATGTCCTGCAGGGTAAGGCTGAATCAAAAACTCAATAAATGTTATGAATGATTTTATCCTCAGAAACAGTGACAGTGGCTTTATGGTCTGGGGAAAAGGGCAGAAGCTGAGCAGCCAGCTCCAACTTGGACTGGAACCAGTAGCCCTGCGGGCACCTTTTGACCTAACACTACAAGGCCATATGGTTCCCATATAATTTGTGTAAACTAAAGAAGTGACATCACATCAACAGTTAATTTTCCATGACAACTTTTGAGTATTTTGACCTTTTTTCACAGTTTTATCCGCCCTCCTCTGATCATGCTGTCGGTGGATGGCTTCCGGGCCTCCTACATGAAGAAGGGCAAAGCGGTGATCCCCAACATGGAGAAACTGAGTAAGTCACTTCCACTCACATCCTGACACTAGATAGGCCATACTGTAGCTATACTCTTGTTGAAGGCAGAAAAAGTCAAGAACCCAAGCAACTTAGTTACATTGGAGAAAAAAAGTATTTAGTCAGCCACCAATTGTGCAAGTTCTCCCACTTAAAAAGATGAGAGAGGCCTGTAATTTTCATCATAGGTACACGTCAACTATGACAGACAAATTGAGGAAAAGAAATCCAGAAAATCACATTGTAGGATATTTAATGAATTTATTTGCAAATTATGGTGGAAAATAAGTATTTGGTCACCTACAAACAAGCAAGATTTCTGGCTCTCACAGACCTGTAACTTCTTCTTTAAGAGGCTCCTCTGTCCTCCACTCGTTACCTGTATTAATGGCACCTGTTTGAACTTGTTATCAGTATAAAAGACACCTGTCCACAACCTCAAACAGTCACACTCCAAACTCCACTATGGCCAAGACCAAAGAGCTGTCAAAGGACACCAGAAACAAAATTGTAGACCTGCACCAGGCTGGGAAGACTGAATCTGCAATAGGTAAGCAGCTTGGTTTGAAGAAATCAACTGTGGGAGCAATTATTAGGAAATGGAAGACATACAAGACCACTGATAATCTCCCTCGATCTGGGGCTCCACGCAAGATCTCACCCCGTGGGGTCAAAATGATCACAAGAACGGTGAGCAAAAATCCCAGAACCACAAGGGGGGACCTAGTGAATGACCTGCAGAGAGCTGGGACCAAAGTAACAAAGCCTACCATCAGTAACACACTACGCCGCCAGGGACTCAAATCCTGCAGTGCCAGACGTGTCCCCCTGCTTAAGCCAGTACATGTCCAGGCCCGTCTGAAGTTTGCTAGAGTGCATTTGGATGATCCAGAAGAGGATTGGGAGAATGTCATATGGTCAGATGAAACGAAAATAGAACTTTTTGGTAAAAACTCAACTCGTCGTGTTTGGAGGACAAAGAATGCTGAGTTGCATCCAAAGAACACCATACCTACTGTGAAGCATGGGGGTGGAAACATCATGCTTTGGGGCTGTTTTTCTGCAAAGGGACCAGGACGACTGATCCGTGTAAAGGAAAGAATGAATGGGGCCATGTATCGTGAGATTTTGAGTGAAAATCTCCTTATGGATTTTTTTTCCTCATTTTGTCTGTCATAGTTGACGTGTACCTATGATGAAAATTACAGGCTTCTCTCATCTTTTTAAGTGGGAGAACTTGCACAATTGGTGGCTGACTAAATACTTTTTTTCCCCACTGTACATATCAATCAAATGTATTTCATAAAGTCCTTTTTACATCAGCAGTTGTCACAAAGTGCCTTACAGATACCCAGCCTAAACCCCAAAGCGCAAGTAATGCAGAGGCAGAAGCACAGTGGCTAGGAAAAACTCCCTAGAAGGCATACGGGTCTCTAGGAATAAAACAACCTCCTGCTCTACTCTACGCTACTCTACTCTACTCTACTCTGCTCTACTCTGCTCTACGCTACTCTGCTCTACTCTACTCTGCTCTACTCTATTCTGCTCTACGCTACTCTGCTCTACTCTACTCTACGCTACTATTATGTTTTAGACCAGAATGGATGTGTTGAAGGGAGGTGCTTTCACTTTAGATTTCATGCATTGTGATGAAAGATTCTAGGCTACTGATACTATATTGATAATTTGCTAATTTCTTCCCATATAGGAACATGTGGCACTCATGCACCCTACATGCGACCAGTGTACCCCTCCAAAACCTTCCCCAATTTGTATACTCTTGCCACGGTATGGTTACTTATTCCAATGCATGTCCATATGAATATACCACTATTTTATTGAAACTTTAAATAAAATATGTTTTCAATTAGATGGTTTCCAATTTCCAAGTCATATGCATTGTAACAACATGTAACAACATTATAATAACATTGTAACAACTTTTAAACAGATCTTCGTCAATTATGTTTCTCTGGTATATCTATGAGTTGTGATTTTTTTCAAGGGGCTTTATCCCGAGTCTCATGGAATAGTGGGAAATTCCATGCATGACCCAGTGTTTGACGCCAACTTCAACCTGAGGGGGAGGGAGAAACTGAACCACCGCTGGTGGGGTGGCCAACCTGTGAGTGTATAGATACTGTCCAATTCTTCACACTTACACAGTTTTTAAACTTAGGGAAATACACTAATATGTTTGCAGAATCACAATGACATTTATAGTGTAAGATAGCAACTTGGAGCAGCATCAAGTTGTTAGTAATGGATAAGATAATAAGTGAATGTGTTTTTTGCATAATGTATGCCTCATGTTTTATATCTGAGCTTGGAACATTGCCTGTTCCCTGTATGTCTGTAGATCTGGATCACTGCAGAGAAGCAAGGGGTGAAGGCTGGCACCTTCTTCTGGCCATGGTGAGTTAACTTGGTCTCTTTGTCAATGACTATTTTGACCTTCAACTACTGTGGCCTGTTAGAGCAAAATGACACAACAAATAATTGATCAGTTGATTCAAAAACCAAGACCATTAATTATTTATGAAACATTAATACTGAGTGGTGAAACTGAATATATAGATGATGATAAGGCACAACATAAACACAAATAAGTTCTGATTTTACTTGTGAAATAATGTAAATAACTTGCATATCTATGACCTAATAATCACAAGGGGGTCATTGCTGCGGCACATCCTTACAAACAATACCCCCCACACAAGCAGACACATTGGCCATTGAGCATGGTAGCGTAGAGCCCAGTTTGTTTTGCTGGCGAGTTTCACTAATTAGCATACACACGTCAGACTGCCAGTCAAACACTTTGGTTGATATTTCTACGTTTTGACACCCTTTTTGTTTTTTGTGAAAAAATGTACCCCCATAACATGTAGTTATTCTAGAACTAAGTCATGAGATACTTGCAAGTATACTTGACTGACATGTCTGTGTCGTTGCAGGGTGATTCCACTAGAGAGGAGAATCCTGACCATCCTGCGATGGCTTAGTCTTCCTGACGATGAGAGGTTAGATATTCATCCCCAATGCTCATTAAATATGAACATCAACATGTGCCAACCTCACTTCCACCAATTTTCCCAACCAAATTTCCACAAAAGACTCAGAGATGGACTAAGCTACTCAGCCTTATAAGAGCGTTAATAGATACTTAATAGAGAATCAAGCTACTGTACTGTACTGAGGTCAGTGGTTGAGCTGTGTGTCTGTGTGCTGTCTTTAGGCCCTATGTGTACGCTGTCCACTCAGAGCAGCCTGACACGTTCGGACACAGACTGGGACCCTTCAGCAACGAGGTGAGCTCCTCTGATTGTCCCCAGTCCCGAATTGGTTCGACAGATAGAGAGCCGCTGGTGGAGGAGATTAGGCCAGAGATGGTTGATGGTTGCTATGGGGCGGGGTGGGTGTTGTGAGGGGGGGGGGGTCAAGTAAGAGCAACTCATCTTAAGGTGATAAAGCGCTAAGTCATGTTGCGGTCTCTAACTTTGGTGATATTTACGCATTAATACTGTAAATACAGGTAAAAATTTTATCATGAACCACAACTGATAAATTCCAGAGATTACTTACTGTAGTAACCTTTGTGTGTTTTGTGTCTTATAGTTGGACAACCCCCTGAGGGAGATTGATAATGTCATTGGTCAGCTGATGAACGGCCTGAAGCAGATGAACCTACACCGCTGTGTCAACATCATCGTCGTTGGAGACCATGGTATGGAAGAACGGACCACAAGGACCACCATTTTGAATTGTATCTGCACTAGCCTATGTCTACTCTGGTTAACTGACCTAATAACACCAAAACATATTTCCCTGATGTCTTGATAACATTGTGAAAAAATACATATTTACCTTGTTGTAATCTTGTTATTTTGTTCCATGAGAAATGTTTACTAACCTTGGCTTATGCATAACTTGTCTCTTTCTGCCCCTAGGAATGGAGGAGGCCCACTGTGATAGGACTGAGTTCCTCAGCACCTATCCTCTGAACGTGGATGAGATCAATCTGATCCCTGGATCTCTTGGGAGAATCCGGGCCCGGGATCCCAAATCAACCACCTGTGAGTTACACAGTACTGTAAGGGAATGGACATAGCAGGCTAGATTCATGAACTAGAATGTGTTCAAACATCTTTCTTTCTTTCTAGTTTATATTTTCCTATGTATCTGTTTTACTTTTTTATGTTAACTTTTTTCAGATGACCCAAAAGTAGTTGTGGCAAATCTTACAGTAAGTACACATGAAAAATGAACAAAACAAAACAATGATTATGTTTTTGTTAGATATTTTGCTGGCTGTGTAGAACTTTCTGTAAGTCATCTACATGTGTGATCACAGAGTCCATGTAATGACCTTGTTTTACAGTGTAAAATGCCAACCCAGCACTTTAAGCCTTACTTGAAACAACACCTCCCAAAACGGCTTCACTACGCCAACAACCGCAGAATTGAGGATGTCCACTTACTCATGGAGAGAAAGTGGCACATTGCCAGGTATTGTATTTTTCTACAGTACTAGTACTATCAACTCAACTAGATGAAGTTAAAAAGCATTGTATGGAATTTGGGGACTAATTGGCATTTGTCTAAAACTTTTTATTTTGTATATTCTATGTGATGCAGGAAAGTGCCTGAAAACAGGAGGCATCCTGGGAGATGTGGTTTCTTTGGTGACCACGGATTTGACAATAAGATCACCAGTATGCGGGTAAACCACTTAAATTAAAATAACGTTTTCCAGATATTGTATTCTTAGCTGCTTGTGTTTACCTTGTTTCCAATGTTTGTTCCCTGTATAGACTATCTTTTTGGGCTACGGACCAAGCTTTATGTTCCAGACAAAAGTGGCAGAATTTGAAAATATCGAGTTGTACAATGTCATGTGCGGTACGATTTCTTTCTGTACTTAAGTGCTATTACGAGTTTATTTGTTGGCACCACCAATTACTCTGAAAACGATATTTACAATAAATATTTCATAACTAGGAAATATAAAGTTTCTGTGGAAACTTTGTTCCATACAAAATCAATCTCATATGCCCTTCTTTCTCAGACCTCCTGGGCTTGACCCCTGCCCCTAACAATGGAACCCATGGGAGTCTGAATGACATGCTGAAAGCCCCTCCTTTCACACCCACCATGCCAGAGGAAGTGACTGCTCCCACCAGCTCTGACACTACCTCAGCCACGACCTACGACCTGGGATGTAGCTGTGACAATGAGGTCAGTGATGAGGTCATGAGTGGAAACCAACTCAAAGAGTTTTATAGAGTAACAGGGTTGGGGTCCATTCCATTTTAAACCCCTAAGGTCGATGTCCGCGCCCTCGCGGAAATCAAATTAGCATAAATAAAAAAAATCCCCAGATAAGTCTGCCAGTTTAAGCTAGAGATATCAGGTTTTTTTTACATTGGATGCGTCTCAATCCACCGCATCCGCCTATGTTGCCCCTCCACATCTGCAGTGAAAGGTGATAGAGCTAGAGCGGTGTTTGTCAGACCATGAGACGTCCTGAAAATCGGTCTTCTCACAAATTCGTATGTAGCGTCCGAACATTTGGCCCAAAAAATTGTCAAAGACTCCAGTCACCCAAATCATAGACTGTTCTCTCTGCTACCGCACGGCAAGCGGTACTGGAGCGCCAAGGCTCCTTAACAGCTTCTACTCCCAAGCCATAAGACTGCTGAACAATTAATCAAATGGCCATCTGGACTATTTGCATTGACACTGCTGCTACTCGCTGTTTATTATCTATGCATAGTCACTTTACCCCTACCTACATGTACATATTACCTCGACTAACCGGTGCCCCCGCACATTGACTCGGTTCCGGTACCCCCTGTATATAGCCTCGTTATTGTTATTTTATTGTGTTATTATTATTATAATTTTTTTGTTTACATTAGTTTATTTAGTAAATATTTTCTTAACTCTATTTTCTTAAAACGGCATTGTTGGTTAAGGGCTTGTAAGTAAGCATTTCACGGTAAGGTCTACACCTGTTGTATTCGGCGCATGTGACAAATAAAATGTGATTTGATTTGATAAACTAATATGACCCCTCTGTGGAAAGGTGAGGCTCTCACGAACACGTACATGTCGGTTGTTCTGAAAGTCCCCTGGTACCAGTTGAAAAAATTAATGGAAGTATATATGGAGACTGTTAAGTGCCAAAAATAAGGGGTTAAACACATGTAAAAATAAAATAAAACATGTTTCCTGATCTTTGTCTTGGGTGGCAGGTAACCTAGCAGTTAAGAGCATTGGGACAGTAGATGAAAGGTTGCTGGTTCAAACCCCTGAGCTGACTAGGTGAAAAATCTGTCAATGTGTGTCACGATCGTCATGGAGAGACCAAGGCGCAGCGTTGCGGGTGAACATATTATATTTATTAAATGATCACACGATCAAAACAACAAACGAAAAACGTGACGTCTATGGTTAAACACACACCAACACGATAGAAGAAACCACCTAAACCAGACCAAGCAGCGTGTCCAGGAGCCATCGCTGGCAGATCTCCGTGGCAGCCTCAACTGGGTCAAGCCTAGTGAGGAGCAGAGAGGGTGGACTTGGGACCAGTTGAGGAGGAGCTTCGACTGGGTCAAGCCCATTGAGGAGCTGAATGGCTAGAGTTGGAGACAGAGGAGCGAGAGTTGGGCGAGAACGATGGAGGCCTGGCCCACGGGGAGGAGAGACCCCCAGAAATTTTTTAGGGGGGGGCTCACGACGTCAGGGCAGCAGGAGGCCACGATAGAGCGGTCCAGCGGGTTGGCAGAGGAGGCCGCCAGGTTACGGGAGTCACTGGTCACCAGGGGGAAGGAGGTTGTAGAGGCACGGCGAGAGGTACTGGCGTGTGTTGCCAGTCCGGTCCGGCCTGTTCCTGATCCTCAAGTAGGGCCAGTGGTGTGTGTTCCCAGTACGGTCCGGCCTGTTCCTGCCACTCCCACCAAGTCAGTGGTGCGTTTCGTCAGCCCGGCGCGGCCCGTTCCTGCTCCCCGCCCCAAGTCAGTGGTGCGCGTCGTCAGCCCGGTCTGGCCCATTCCTGCTCCCCGCACCAAGTCAGTGGTGCGCGTCGTCAGCCCGGTTCGGCCCATTCTTGTTCCCCGCACCAAGTCAGTGGTGCGCGTCGTCAGCCCGGTCCGGCCCATTCCTGCTCCCCGCACCAAGTCAGTGGTGCGCGTTGTCAGCCCGGTCCGGCCCATTCCTGCTCCCCGCACCAAGTCAGTGGTGCGCGTCGTCAGCCCGGTCCGGCCCATTCCTGCTCCCCGCACCAAGTCAGGGGTGCGCTTCGTCAGCCCGGTCCGGTCCATTCCTGCTCCCCGCACCAAGGCAGTGGTGCGCTTCGTCAGCCCGGCTCGGCCCGTTCCTGCTCCCCGCACCAAGTCAGTGGTGTGCTTCGTCAGCCCAGTCCGGCCTGTCCCTGCTCCACGCACCAAGCCTACGGTGTGCGTCGTCAGCCTGGTAAGGCCCGTTCCTCCTCCACGCACCAAGCCAGGGGTGCGCGTCGTCAGTCCAGCACAACCCGTGCCTGGGTCATGTCCGGAGCCGGATCCGCCGCCTAGGCGGAGTGCCCACCCGGTCCCTCCCCTGTGGGATTTAGTTGGCGCGGTCGGAGTCCGCGCCTTTAGGGGGGGGTACTGTCACGCCCTGGCTCTGGGGACAATGTTATGTTGAGCCAGGGTGTGTAATTCTATGTTTGATTTTTCTATGTTGGTCTGAGTGACTCCCAATCAGAGGCAACGAGTGTCAGCTGGGTGTCTCTGATTGGGAGCCATATTTAACTGTCTGTCTTTCACGTTGTGTTTGTGGTTTCTTGTTTGTGTTGGTGTGTGTTTAACCATAGACGTCACGTTTTTCGTTTGTTGTTTTGATCGTGTGATCATTTAATAAATATAATATGTTCACCCGCAACGCTGCGCCTTGGTCTCTCCATGACGATCGTGACAATGTGCTCTTGAGCAAGGCACTTAACCCTAATTGCTTCTGTAAGTCACTCTGGATAAGAGCGTCTGCTAAATGACATAAATGTAAAAATATATATAGGACAGACACTTCAGAACAAACTTCCTTTTTAGTTTTTTGGGGGGACTATCTGTTTTTCCATGTATGGAATCTGTTATTCAGTGTGTTGGTATGGGCTAATAGCAGTAAGGCCCAAAATAATTTTTCATCAAATATTTGTAATTTTCTTTGTATACTTCAAGAGGTCTTAAAATTCAAAATCAAATAGCAAAATGACCCATGGCATGACCTTCTTAAAACAATTCCATATAGGCAGGGCTTAGACTCTTGTGGGTTAATTCAGGTCATTTGGGAGCTATATTGAAATTCCAATTCCTTTCCATTTATTACAGCTAAATGACAGTCATAAATTATTGAAATCGCTTCTTAAAGGTCCAATGCAGTCGTTTAAAAAATCACATACGACTAATAAAACTTAAAACTTGTTTTAAATTAAAATGATCAAAAAGAAACAAAAATAGACTGTCTGGGAGTGGTCTGAGTGGAGAGGGGAAAACTGAAAACTAGCTGTTATTGGCAGAGATTTGGAACTCTCTTTCTTATTGGTCTATTAACTAATTTACCACCTCGTGATGTCACCAGGCAGGCAAAAACTCCATCCCACTAAAACGGGCTGAAATATCAGGCAGTCTTTTCAAACAGCTCTTACACTAAAAGGGCATTATCATAATTTTCACAATTTCACAGTATTATTCCAACCTCATAGTGTGGAAATATACTGTACACTGAACAAAAATATAAATGCGTTGTGTTGGTCCCATGTTTCATGAGCTGAAATGAAATATCCCAGAAATGTTCCATACGCACAAAAAGCTTATTTCTCTCAATTCTTTTGCACTAATTTGTTTACATCCCTCATAGTGAGCATTTCACCTCTGCCAATATAATCCATCCACCTGACAGGTGTGGCATATGAAGAAAGCTGATTAAACAACCTGATCATTACACAGGTGCACCTTGTGCTGGGGACAATAAAAGGCCACTCTAAAATGTGCAGTTTTGTCACAACACAATGCCACAGATGTCTCAAGTTTTGAGGGAGCATGCAATTGGCATGCTGACTGCAGGAATGTCCACCAGAGTTGTTGCCAGAGAATTGAATGTTCATTTCTCTACCAACGTCGTTTTAGAGAATTTGGCAGTACGTCCAACCGGCCTCACAACCACAGACCACTTGTACGCCAGCCCAGGACCACAATATCCGGTTTCTTCACTTACGGGATTATCTGAGACCAGCCACCCGGACAGCTGATGAAACTGTGGGTTTGCACAACCGAATAATTTCTGCACAAACTGTCAGAAACGTCTCAGGGAAGCTCATCTGCGTGCTCGTCGTCCTAACCAGAGTCTTGACCTGACTGCAGTTCTGCGACGTAACCGACTTCAGTTGGCAAATGCTCACCTTCGATGGCCACTGGCACGCTGGAGAAGTGTGCTCTTCACGGATGGTTTGCTGATGTCAACGTTGTGAACAGAGTGCACCATGATGGCGTTGGGGTTATGGTATGTGCAGGCATAAGCTACAGACAACGAACACGATTGCATTTTATCGTTGGCAATATGAATGCGCAGAGATACCATGATGAGATCCTGAGGCCCATTGTCGCGCCATTCATCCGCCGCCATCACCTCATGTTGCAAGGGTCTGTACACAATTCCTGGAAGCTGAAAATGTCCCAGTTCTTCCATGGCCTGCAAACTCACCAGACATGTCACCCATTGAGTATTTTTGGGATGCTCTGGATCGACGTGTACGACAGCATGTTCCAGTTCCCACCAATATCCAGCAACTTCGCACAGCCATTGAAGAGGAGTGGGACAACATTCCACAGGCCACAATCAACAGCCTGATCAACTCTATGCAAAGGAGATGTCGCGCTGCATGAGGCAAATGGTGGTCACACCAGATACTGACTGGTTTTCTAATCCACGCCCCTACTTTTTTTTTGTGACCAACAGATGCATATCTGTATTCCCAGTCATGTGAAATCCATAGATTAGGGCCTAATGAATCTATTTCAATTGACTGATTTCCTTATATGAACTGTAACTCAGTAAAATCGTATACATTTATTTTTGTTCAGTGTATATAAAACACAGGAAAATCATGCTTTTGACTGCAATTGGATTTTAAGGTCTCTGTTCCTCTGTTACAGAACAAAGTAGAGGAGAACAATCAGAGATTCAGACCAGCAGCA